CAGGAAGCAAGCAAATTTGAAGTACCACCATCTAATTAACCTCTTTTATGATTCTAGGTTTTCTTAATAAATTTGTAGCTTAATTTAACTTTTATATATTTACCATAATAAATAGTGACACAATAAAATTTGAGTTCAACACCATAGTTGAATTACTTGGCTATTCATAGTAACTTTCCTAAAACAGCCAAAACTTTTTTATGAATATATATTTTCTATCTTATAATAATCTTTTCAGGACAGGAATATCAGCATACATCATACACTATTGTAAATACCCAGTAAACTATAAAAGTCCCAAAGTATCATTGCAATCTGCAACCTCTCCTAAAATATATTAAAACAAGTTTCAATATTTCTCACAAATATTTAAAGTATATGTTGCATTTTTTTCACATTTTTGGAAAGTGAATAAATGGAACCCAATTAGAATAGTTGAGAGATTCAGCCAGTTTTCTTTATTTAACCACTTTGGTTTAAAATACAAAAACAACCCAGCTGTCGTGTCTCAGTGGTTGAGTGTCCACCTATGAGCCAGGAGGTCAGGATTCAATTCCAGGTCAGGGCACATGCCTGAGTTTCAGGCTCAGTGTCCAGTGTGGGGCATGCAGGAGGCAGCTAATCAATGATCTCTCGCATCATTGATGTTTCTCTCTCTCTCTCCCTCTCCCTTCCTCTCTGAAATCATGAAAATATATTTTAAAAATACAAAAAAAGAAAGCTCAGTAAATATATCACCATAACACATCAAATTCAAAATTTCAATTCAACTTGAATGTTCAATTAAAAATTGCAAAGTAGGAAATTAGTAAATAGTTATGTAAACTTTTTATGTTTTTGTTTAAGAATTTAAAAAATTAATTTACCTCACTAAAGTCACTCTTCCTTAACACCATAGTTATGCATATGCATCTTCTCCTTAAAGTTTTATATTTTAAAAAATTAATTTATAGTTTTTGCTGCAATTTAAATATTATCCAATAAAGAAATTTTTAATTATTTCTAATATATTAATATAAAAGAGGTTAAATGTAGTTAACATATGTTCTTTAAAACTCAAGTTAAGCAAGAAAAAAGCATCAAGGTAAGTCAAATTAATATATTTTAAAAATAAGAAAACAATTAAATAATGTTTATTATTAATTTAAACCTTAAATATTTGTTAAATAAATTGTTAGAGATTTTAAATTTTTTAACCAGGCAACAAAACTCAGAAACTCAAATTATGATCTCTTGAATGAAGTCATCTCTGAATATATGTCTCTAAAATGTATTTTATTAATAATATTAGGCAACTATTGAGTTTTATTCCATCTTGTGTAAATTTTTAAATTATGTAACAATATTTGCTTTTGTAACTATTAACTTGAATCTTAAGCTACTATTTATAATCTAATTTTATTAAATGTACACAACTATTCAGCATCAATTTTAATCCTTTTTGGCAAAAAAACATTTCCTCACATTCGCTAGGTTTTTGCTATTACTTTAATTATGCAGAAAATAATTCAGTTGTTCAGTTATACACATTTTATATAAATTAAACTTCCTCTACTAATTTTTTTTTCACAATAATCTAGATCAGAGACTTTCAACTGATGTGCCGTTTTTACAACATTCAATACCTGACTATTTAGTCAGGGGCACTGACCTCTTTTCTCTTAGATTATCAATTTTAAAAAAATGACAGCAGCCAACACAATGGCCATCTGGTGAATGAATCAAAATTATAACTATTTTCTTATCAAACAGGATAAAAATATATATTTTTGGTGTACTGCAGAATTTTGGTAATTAGTGTATGTATGCCATGAAAAACGCTTGAAAATCGCTGAAATAGATAGAAACTTAAAATATTAAAAACTATTACCTGGTGTGAATGAATCAAAATTATAACTATTTTCTTGTCAAACAGGATAAAAATATATATTTTTGGTGTACTGCAGAATTTTGGTAATTAGTGTATGTATGCCATGAAAAACGCTTGAAAATCGCTGAAATAGATAGAAACTTAAAATATTAAAAACTATTACCTGGATATTTTGAAGGTATTACACTGGTGTTTGTATTGGTCTTTTCTCATAAAGTATTACAATTGAAAGCATTTTTGTATTTTTCTTTCTTTTGGTGGGCAAAAGAATAAAAACCACCATCACCACCACCACAACAAACTAACCAGGTTTCCAGGTTATTATCTAACATGGAAGAACGATCAACTCCACTTTCAATACTGTCAAATAGGATTTTTAAATTATAGGCACATCCTGAGTCAAGTTCAAGGTCTGCATTCAATTGAGTTGATTTCCCTCGTCTCAAAATCCCAAACTCCAAATGTCGAAAAGCGTTCAGAGAAATGTGGGTACTGGCGCTTAGTCGTGTTGTGAGCAGGATAGATGATTTTCTAACCGCTGACCTTAAATTCCCACTTGGTTTCTGACACCATTCCTAAAGTTATGACTCCAAGAATAATGTTGCCGCATGGTGATTGGCTCACAGAATGATGTGATGTCTTCCAGGGGCAGAACTTCTGGGAATAATGTGACTTGGAATATTTATGGGTATTGCTTTTGGTGTGCTTAAAATATTTCCATTCTTCCCATGTCCACCTCATAAACTTTTAAGTTTTCCTAACCCATAATTTGTTTTATGATGACTAACTCAAAAAAGTGGGAAGGGCCCAACCCCACATTTTCATTGACCTGTTTCAGGAATATTTATAAGTACTTGAACAACACATAAGTGTTTTGCTTTTCAGCAGATTCAAGTATATTTTGGGACTAAATGGCATGAAATGGGTGAGAGGAATAGATATTCGACCTACACCCATCCAATCTTATGTCACAGTTTTCATAAAAACTTAAACAAATCATCTAATAGTTGACAAAATGAAATGCTCATCATGAAATGTTTCATAACAGTTTTTTGATCATTTCTGTGACGTTGTGTAGAGCAATATATTGGAAAAAATCACTGCCTGAGTCAAAATTGTGGGACCAATCACTCCTTAGACCACTTCTCAAATATTTTCTATTTTTACCTTTAAGCATTAACGATACATTTTTTGTATTTCACTTCACTAGAAGTGCATCAAACCAAAACTTAACACAAAGGAGCCCAGTAGATTAAATGTTCCCTTCCTAATTGTTCTCCCATAGTTAAAAATATTCCACCAAAATGTGCACATCTGTTTGCAATAGTTAACAAAACATTCCTCTGTTAATATCGTTATAAACCTTAACTACTCAACTAGAGTAGAGAAAGGAATTTTCTCATAACCACACACAACTCATTTGGTTGCTACTCTCTTACTTCCCCTGTTCCCCCCAAAATGACTATGCTATCACTGAAGAATAGCTATGAACATTAATTAATACTCTCTGAAAATCTCCAAAATATATTTTTTGAAGTTCATGCAATTTTACTAAATATACTTGCATGTTCCACTACGTTTTTCCCTCTTTTACTAAAATGATCCAGCTTCATATAAAGATTTTATATCATGTATCACCAAGCTTTCCTTATGAATGACAACTATCTTAGCCACAGTTTATTTTTCTGTAAAATTGGAATAATAAGTACATGTTCATAACTACCTACATTTCTTTTTATAAAACGAAATTAAGTAAAATCATCTATGAAAACGTGCTCTGAAAAGCACTAAGCTCTAGTGTGTGTGTGTGTGTGTGTGTGTGTGTGTGTGTGTGTGTGTGTGTCACTGAACTCTGCCTTTCAGTGTGTGTGTGTGTGTGTGTCTGTCTGTCTGTCACTGAACTCTGCCTTTCGTCAAATTCTTGTAGTGGTGATTCTATTGCTTTATTTAATCCCTATTGTCCAAGTTTCTTCCTTAGAGTATTATGGGGATATAATCATTTACATTGCATGTCAAGTTATTGGGATTTTTCTCTTTGAAGTTTATTTGTCTTTCTCTTCTAAAATATACGTATGTAAGACAAAAACACTTTCTTTTTTTATACTTTTTGTTAGGGACAAAAAGGTAATAGAATTCAACGGTAATCAAATACAAGTTTTTTAAAACGTCACTTCTGAAAAGTTATAGTTAACTCCAGATATTTAACGGGGCTAGTTTTCTATGGCAAGAAAATTCCCCCCAAATTTTGACAGATTCAGCAGGTTATATCATTGAATTTAGAAGTCAGTCTCTTTATCCTTCAAACCCATAAAATAGTGTGTCACTCTTACGGGCTACCACTGCTGTGGGCAGACAGTGGTATTGGATCAAGGTCTTCCAGTACCATTGACCTCCCAGCAGTGAGTCTTTTGTTTTTAAAAGGTGGTTTTATTACTACCTCCAATTCAGATTACCAATAGAGAATGAATTAAAACTGTTTAAGTGAGTTGGACTAGTTATTCATTAAATATTTGGAGAGCATCTACCCTGTCTGCTACGCTTTGCAAATTGGCAACGTCATACATGATATTTGAACTGGTTAATAAAAGAAAAAGTCAGCTTTTCAGTCATGATACCGAGCCAAGGGCAGCTGTAAGTCACGAGGTGATGACTGTAAGGAACGCTGATCAGGTTTAAACACATAAATATAATCCTTGGACGTTTGGCTTTCTTAGGGCAATTTGTTTTGTTATTACCTAGTTTTGTTGAGCCCTTTTTTTTCTCATATCCTTAGGGCACTTAAAATCTGAACAGAAGTAGACAGATTGCATTCATTTCGACATTTTAAAGAATTGAAGGCTTTGTGAATATCAAATGCCATAAATTTGACCAAGTGAGCCTGTGTGCCATACTTTTTGCCTTCATATCATTGAAAGATGCCTTTTTGCCTGAATTAATAAGAAGTAGACATATCTATTAACTTCTCAGTTTTGTGAACTCAGAAAGAACATGTGCGCTGTAGCCTATAAAGAACAGGGTTTAAAATACTATTCTGTTTATTATTTTAAACACCAGTCAGAAGTATCAAATATTGCATAAATCAATGCCGTATGCTCTCATTCAAGTTGCAAATATTATAATTTGTTTGAAATATCCTGTCTCGTTAGATAGTTCAGAAACTTTGGTTAATTTGTTAGGAAATGTAACATCCCACAAACATATCAACGTCATGTTTGGTACAAAATAGATAGCAAAGTATAAAAGCCCTGTCATGTTACAGCTCGGATGAGATCTGTAAGTGGGATTTAAGCTGTGAGATTTTGCCTTTCTTGGGTGAGCTTACACACACAGTTTCCAGGTTATTGAGTGGACAGATCAGCTTTTCACGTTACCCAGCACGTTGACAGACGTCAGCCCTGCAGCTAGCCCTGACAATTTATTGATCTGCTCTGCCATCCTCTGGAGACTGAAGGAAGCTGTGCTGACGAGCCTGGTATGTGAGAGGTTTGGAACCCTAACACTTTTTATGTCTCTATATTGTTTTTGCACTGTTAGCCCCATTTGCAATTTATCTGCACTCTTACCATACCTTCTTCAGAGACAGGGGGCGTTCATTTAGACCTTAATGTGTGCCAGGCGGTGAGCTCTTACAGCTCTGTGTAATCTCATTTAAGTTCTCAGTCTGTATCAACGAAGCTTAGCATATAGCATTGGGGAAAATCGTGTAGATGCTATCTCCCTTCTATGTTAGGAAGGTGCTACTAATCCATCAAGAATATGACATATGTTTTGAATTAATTTTCCAGAAGAGAGGAAGGATTTTCTGGAAAATCACACTCTTTGGCCCTTTCGTCTTTTGCCCAGCGTTTACAGTGATCAGACCTAAGAACTCCCAATTCAGTCAGTAGGTCTCATCCCTTGATGCCCATTAGAATCACCTGAGCAGCTTTGTACAAATATCACTACCTGGACCCCACCTCAACCAATGAAATATGAATGTCAGAGTTTGAGCATTGGTTATTTGTAAGGGTCCACAGATGTTTCCATGCACACTGTGAGTTGAGGATGACTTCCCTATCAGGGCTTCTCAACTTTTAATGTGCCTTGGTCACCTGAGGATCTAAATAAAATGCGGATTCTGATAGTCTGCATTTCTTACAAGTGATACTGATCAAGTGATACAAGCGCTGCTGATCCATGAACCACACTCTGAGTAGCAAGATTCTAAATGTATTAGGAACATGAAGACATGTGTGAACATCACTCCACACCCCAAATTAAACAAGATATTAGGAATAAAAGTAGTTTTCCTCTAATCTCTAATAATAATATTAGCCTCGCCCACTAGCTTAAATTTGACTTGGAAAGGTTTGCTAGGGTCCAGAGAGGACAAAACACTTGAATGTTAAGCGGCCTGGAAGATCCTTTATGTTCAAAACCATCATTTTTTATACAGGCGGAAACAGACCCAGAGAGTGGAGTGATGAGATGAGTTTGCCTCTATTAGTGAGTAAAACGCGCTTTGTGAGTGATATTTAACACAGTTCCTGTTGGTTGCAGGCTGTGGCCAAGCTGATGTCCGTGGACTGCCGCTGTCACGGCGTGTCCGGCTCCTGTGCGGTGAAAACATGCTGGAAAACCATGTCTTCATTTGAGAAGATTGGCCATTTCCTGAAGGATAAATATGAGCACAGTGTTCAAGTCTCAGACAAAATAAAAAGGAAAATGCGCAGGAGAGAAAAGGACCAGAGGAAAGTACCGATCCGCAAGGAGGATCTGCTCTACCTCCATAAGTCTCCCAACTACTGCGTAGAGGATAAGAACATTGGGATCCCGGGGACGCAGGGCAGAGAATGCAACCGCACGTCGGAGGGCGCGGGTGGCTGCAACCTCCTCTGCTGTGGCCGAGGCTACAACACACACGTGGTCAGACACGTGGAGAGGTGCGAGTGCAAGTTCATCTGGTGCTGCTACGTTCGCTGCAGGAGGTGTGAAAGCATGACTGACGTCCACACCTGCAAGTAACCACTCCGTCCAGCCGTGGGCACCACGCCTCACTGACCACAGTGGAGTGGCAGGGCAAGTGAAGTCCACACTGGCCTTGAAACCCAAGATCCTTGGACCCTCCCAGAGTTCCCTTTACCTGGTTGACGTCCAGTCACACACTGAGCAGGTGGATTTGGGGGAATTCTACATTATTGACATGCAAGGAAGATCATCTGTCTCCTAAGCAAGAAAGAGCAGGAAAGAACCTTCCTGTAGAAGATCTGGTCCATCTTCAGGATAAGATCCTTGACTATGGAACTCAGTTATGGAACTCAATAGGGGTGGGTGACTGTTAGTCATTTTTAAAAGACACCTCTTATAGCAGCCAGGGGCGTACAGGTGAATCTCATTTATTCTCTCAGCGTCTTATTTTTTTCTTAATATATTTTATTGATCTCAGAGAGGAAGGGAGAAGGAGAGACAGAAACATCAATGATGAGAGAATCATTGATTAGCTGCCTCCTGCACGCCCCCTACTGGGGATTGAGCCCACAACCCGCGCATGTGCCCTGACCAGAATTCGAACCTGGGACCCTTCAGTCTGCAGGCTGATGCTCTATCCACTGAGCCAAACCAGCTAGGGCTCCCTCAGCGTTTTAGATGAAGAAATCATGTTACATGTCTGTGCATAGAAACGGATGTTGAAAAGGTAACAGAAGTGGTGGGTGCTTTCTTTCATTTCAAAAGAAAGGCAATGAAAAAGAATTTTCATAAGTGATACAATATTCCTAAAAAGTGTTTGCTAGGTTTCGTGACAAAAAGAAAGAATCAAAATTTAACAAAGTGAATTTTGTATAATTTGGATTTTAATCAGGAGAATTTCTCGGTAACTCTCAGTAAGGCATGGAGTAAACTTTGATCTTCAGCTTCAGACTTTAATCATAGACCAGCCGCTATTATTAAGAACCCAGCTCTGAATTACTGTCTGAGGAAGGGATCCTGAACGCATGTGGGAAATTAGGGGTAAAGCACCCTTGAAACGTATAAAAACAGTATTTTGTATAGAATTTTGCTTTAAAAAGTTTTATATTTTGTAAATACAGTTTTTAAATTATATGATATATATTAAAACTTAAGACATTTATTGCCAAAGCCCAAGAGCTAAGGCGATAAAATTATCTCAGAAAAAAATATTAGCTTCTGTTTTTCTTCATACTATCAATTCTGCCTTTATATATATATATTGAAAAAGAAGCTAATTGGGCAGTTAGTTATATGGATGTGTATTTCTTGCCAAAATATCAGTTTTATAAGTGTTATAGTTTAAAATATGCTGCAAAACATTGAGGATTGTGTTATTTCAGCAGTCAGATTAGTTGAATTCTGTTTTTAATTAATGTTTAACTTGTAAAGTTATTATAATAAATTATACAAAAAGTGTAGAAAGTCTTCACTGAAAAAAAAAGAATCTAAATCAGAATAATGATCAACTTGTGGATTTGATTTCCTGGGTATTTATTATATTGTATGTAATGCTGCTTTTCCATGTGAATGTTGAATGGTCGTTCTTGTTTTAGTATTCACGCATGTATATTCACCATATTTTACAAGGTTCCTGGTAAAAGTTGCAGGGCTGTATTTAAAGTTATATTTTAATGTAACTGCTTAGGTTTTTTATGAATTGTTAAATATTTCAGTATTATATAGAAAAAATAGATTTCTAAGTTCAGAATGGACAAAGAAAGAATATTCTTTTTTTTTCATAACAAGCTAGAAAAATGTTTCCCTTTCCCCCAGGTCTCATTCTGTTTCCTTTCCATTTTATTACCAAGGCAGAACAATAATTTGTGGATAAGAGCAAGCACCTGGAAATATCTCAGGTCTAATATTAAAATCAAGGCTAAACATTTGAATGTGACCCTAAGAGTTTAACAAAATTGTTATTCATCGAATGTGATTTTCAGAAATGACAAGTGAACAAATATAGTGCTTATTTTAAAAACTGGTTTAGCATCCACTGCTTAGACTAACCTGAAAAATAGATACTCTCATGCGCCCCCCTTTTTTTTTTTACAAAGTAAATCTATTTTATCAACATTAAAAAATAAGCAATCTTTTTTAGAAGATGGAGACTGTAGTTTTCATTGAGGACCAATTTTTTTCTATTAACTAGAAAACTTTTTATAATTACCTTACCAACCAGTTGTGAGAATCAGGCAGCCTCTAATTCACAAACACCTGGTTGCTATTTAGTCATTGTTTAAACATAGTAATGCCCACTTGGGCTTCCCCTCTCTGGCATGCCCGAGCAGGAACGCCTAACTCGCAATTTATGTCTCGGGGGCTCTTCTTTTCCTTTTCCTCCGTGGCATCTCCATGGAAGGACCCTTGAGCGTCTCACCTGTCTGTTTCACTCGCTGACAATCTTCCTGTGGCTCACTTCCTTCCCATTCCCCATCACGGTGGAGGTAGCACCATGGGGCCCCTGAGAACTGGTTCTGGGGCCCAAACATTCTTAACCAGGCCAGGCCATTTTGCCTGCATTGTTTGGAGTTCTTTCTGTTGCAAGGAACAGAAAACCCAATCCAAACTGACAAACATTAAAGGAAATGTATTGACTTAGTAGCTGAAAAGTCCAGGGTTCTGACCAGTTTAAGTGAAACTTAAAAGTTCCCAGTATGTTCCCAGGGCTCAGGTCTCTCCACCTCCAGCCTAGAGAGGCTGGCTTCTCTGGGGTTGTCTTCTAAGTCAGGCTCCACAGGGTTCTGGTTACCCCCCTACCACCATCAACAGTACCACCATCACCAGCACCTCCCGCATTTCTTTTCTTCTTATCAACATGATACCACACTTCCAGACCTCCTAGTCTCCTATCACTCATTCAGCAGCAAGAGAGATTCCATTCTTAGGAGAGAAAACTCTGTGTGTGTGTGTGTGTGTGTGTGTGTGTGTGTGTGTGTGTGTTCTTTCTTTCTTTTTTCTTTTTGGTTGCTCACACATAGAAGAGGGAAAAGTTATTCCTCAGGATGCCTAGCAAAGGTCATCACTGGTCCTGGTTGGTTAGTGTGCCCATCCCTGAGCCAATCACAATGGCCACTGGTGAAGTTGGGTGGTATACATTGATCTTAAGGCAATCAAGCCACATGCAGGGGACTGGTAGTGGGGTTCATTCCAACTGAACCTGCATGGCTTGAGAATTAGGGAAGCAGTGATTCCACAGAGAAAATCTGAAGTGTTATTTACCATGAAAGGGTACCTAAATGCCCAGCAGCACAGTTATTAGATGTACTCAGTTCTACTGATTTGTTTAGAAAACAGCGTTCTATGGTATCTATGGTATCACAGCCAGACAAAGCACTATGGGTACAAAGTGCCTTGATTTGTTTAAATGTCCTTTATGGTGTTAAAATTAGCCTAGTGTAATAATTTTCAAGTTAAGAGTTCAACTTTTTTTGTAAATTTGGAACTGCCTGAGAGGCAATGGTTAGAGTCAATAATGATTCTTGAAATGAAATCAAGACAAACACATCAAACAGTGTTATCTGTAATCTCTGGAAAAGGAGTTGGCTAATTAAAGAATTTTCCTGATAATAGTAATTCCTATAACATTAAAAACACTTTAATTTATTTGAATATAAACTATTGCATTATTTCCGTACCCACCATCTGGATTGATAGCTGTTCTGTTTTTGCTTTAAAAAAATGACAATAGTTATTCTAAGAATAACAGTGGATTTTTATCACATAAACTAGTAGCCCATTGCGCAATATTGCGCAGTAGGCTGCCCACTGCTTCCGCGGGAGCTGGCAGGAACCACAGTGCACCGCCCGGAGCTGCGCTGTTTCCGCCGGAGGCAGGAGGGAGCCGCGCTGATTCGTGGGAGGTGGGAGCGAGTCACGCCACTTCTGCTGGAGCACGGAGGGACTCGTGCAGATTCCGTGGGAGGCAGAAGGGACCCACACTGCTTCTGCGGGAGGCAGGCCTGCTGTCTCCTCTCCGGGCCTGCGTTCAGCTGCGGAGGCTGCAGGCCAGCCCCCGTCCCTGTCCCTGTCTGTTCTGGCAGGAGCCGCCTCCAAGCCTTTGCGGGCCCCGGTCGGGAGCGAGCCGCCTCCAAGACTTCACAGTCAGGATCACAGGCCGCAGGCAAGATGGCTCCTGGGTCCCAGGGGTGCCTCCTTGCCTGCGGCCCAGCTCTCTGATCGCGATCACCGGCTGGGGTCAGGCAAACGTGCCCCGGTCCTCCGATCCAGGGCCCTGCCACCCCGCTCTTGCCTGCCACCTGGGTTTCCGATCACCACCGTTCTTCCATCCTTCCCCTTTCGCCTCCCATCATTGTGCCTACATATGCAAATTAACCACCATCTTTCTTGGCAGTTAATTTGCATATCACCCTGATTAGCCGATGGGAGGTGTAGCGAAGGTACGGTCAATTACCGTTTGTCTTTTATTAGATAGGATTAGATGCCATGACCCTATTGTGAAGCTTTTATATCCAGGTAATATTCACAGTTAATATTTTAGAACACACTTTAATTTTCTGAAAAACTGTCAGTACTCATATGTTTGGTTTTACTTAGTTTAAAATGTGGACCAGAAAAGCTTGCCATCAAAATATTTATTTGTGCAGTTTGGTGAGATGTTGGTACTTTTGCATCATCTCCCAAAGGCCGTCATAGAGTGAGGAATGAAACCAACCATTTGGAGGCAGTTAGTTAGTTATCCGAAACATTATAATCCACTTAGCTGACTTGAGAGGGAAAAAATTCAAATCCTATCCCCAGGGACCATGAATACTCCTCAAGACAAGCCTTCCCTAAGGAGAGTTGGCTAAGATGCTGTGATTTTTTAAAAAATTTCAGTTTCACTATAGACCAGATATGGTAAATCATTGCATTTCTTGGAGAGGGATGGCAAGGTCAGCTGAGAAGGACAAATGCATGTGGCACAGCATGAAAGGGACACAGGCACACCAAGGACTCACTTCCTTTTAAAAATAAAATATTAGTGAACATTCAGGTAGTACTATGTCCCAGGGATTGTTCTAAATAGAGCAGAGATGCCTAAAGACATTGAATCTTCACAATAGCCTCTCAAAGTAGGCACCATGATTGTGGTCCTCATTTCCCATCGGAGGAAACAGACACAGTAATAGTGGTTTAATAACTAGACCAACATCGCATAGAATGGCCTGGTGTCAGAGTC